ATTTAATGCATTGAGAAATTTGACGGTTAAACACGATTTATTACTCAATCCCAAATATATCACAGTGGATTTTGAATTGGGAGCTATCAATGCTTTAAAAATCATTTTTCCAAATTCAGTCATCAAAGGGTGCAATTTTCATTTCAACCAATGCCTATTACAAAAACTGAAAGAATTAGGCTTTCAAAAACAATATAATGATTCAGATGATAATGACTTAGAAAGTGTTAAAACATTATTTCAACGTACAGCTGCATTATCATTCATGCCATTAGATGAAATTGACGCTTTATGGTGTTCAATAATGGATGATTATTCACATATAGTGAATATTACTTCATTCTATGATTATGTCACAGATCGATAATGAGCAGTCAATGTTCGAGAAACCTCTCTAGAATTATTACGATTTTCCTGGCGCCAGAACGAACAATTCAGTTGAAGGATGGCATCATCGGCTAAACTCACAAATTGGTGTCATCCATCCAAATTTATATTTATTCATTAAAGAAATAAAAGATGACTACGCATTCAATGTAGCAAGTGTGAAGCAAGCTGCGGCTCAACAAAGAAAAGTACCACGGCGGAAAATTTATGCAATCAGAAATGCACGGATTTTGGATTTAATGGAACGTTATAAAAAAGGCACATTAACTAAGGATGATTATCTATCAAAAATTAGTAAAACAATTGGTAAAAAACATAAGAAAATACCAATAACAGATGAACCAACAATAGCTCTGTAAAGTTTTCTGTTAACTATACTACTATTTTTCTACTCATGTATATGCGTAAGGTTAATTACAGAAGAAAAAGTGTCGACAATTAGGGAATTGTCGGTACCCTTTGATCTAGGTGTGTCGGCTTTTCAGGAAAAATAAACTGTCGACAAATCGGGATTAAACAGTGTGTCGACCGTTCGGGAAAAAACCAGTGTCGACAATTAAGAACAATTAAGACCCTGTCGACCAATCGGGAATACACCCTGAAAAGTTAAGCTCAAATTATCAAGCGCAAACTATTGTAATTGATAGGGAGTGTGCTGCGATTGAAAATTCGACCGGTACTGGAAATATTTTTTCTTATCCTATGCATAAGCCATCGTGTACAGATATAGGCATTTGTATTTTGTTGTTTAGATTCAACATATTCATTCGAGAGGGAAAAAGGTTTTATAGAAGAGATTAGAAATCTTTCATTAGTGTATATCAATGATCTATATGATATAGTTATGAAATTATTATGTCCCATTTACGGTCGTCCAATACCCAATGATTTAAGAATAAAAATCCATCATCTATTAAATTTTTATTATGAATATAAACATATTAGTTATACACCAGAATATCTTCAAAAAAATCTCGATGAACCATGTCAACCAGTTCATATGGATGGTGTGTTAGCATTAAAATTAAACTTTTGGCCACAAGAATGTCAATCGTTTTTAAAACGTATAAAAATGAATCGACCACAATTATATGAAATAATCATAGT